TAGACACGGGAAACGCTGATCCGATCAAACAAAGACCGTATCGCGCATCTCCGCAAGCCAGAGCCGAGATTTCGCGCCAAGTCAAAGAACAACTCGACAATGACATAATTGAACCGTCTGTCAGCGATTGGTCAAGTCCTGTGGTTCTTGTACGCAAGAAAAACGGTGATTACCGATTTGCAGTCGATTACCGGAAGTTGAACTCGGTAACAAAACCAATCAACTTTCCACTTCCGCGAATGGAAGACATCATAGATACACTAGGCGAGAGCAATGCACAGATTTTCAGCTCCCTAGATATGTTTTCTGGGTATTGGCAACTCAATTTAGACCCTAAAACAAGACACAAAACAGCATTCATTTGTCATGAAGGTTTGTATCAGTACAAGCGCATACCATTTGGTCTACAAAATAGTCCCAGCGCATTCATGTCTGTAATGTCAGATGTACTTCGCGATGTCAATTGGAAGTATACTTTGGTTTACATGGACGACATTCTGATATTCTCAAAGAATTTTGAAGAGCATTTATTTCATTTAGACCAAGTATTTCAAAAACTCAGAGAGGCAAATTTGCGCCTCAAGCCATCAAAATGTGAATTTGCTGTAAAAGAAGTCAAGTATTTAGGCCATGTAATTTCAAAAGATGGAATTTCTGTAGATCAGTCAAAAATTGAAGCTGTCAAATCATTTCCTGAGCCGAAGAATACAACTGACATTAGAGCATTTTTGGGACTTGCGAATTATTACCGCAAATTTGTCAAAGGTTTCTCAGAAACTGCAACACCTCTCAATAGACTACTAGCCAAAGGTACAAAATTCAGATGGGACGAAGATTGTCAAAAAGCGTTTGACACACTCAAGCAAATCCTTACTACAGCACCAATTCTGTCATTCCCTGATTTCAATAAAACATTTATTTTGTACACAGATGCGTCAGGATTTTCTATTTCTTACATTTTGGGACAAAAAGATTCAAAAGGGCGAGAAACAGTAGTAGCTTATGGCGGACGTGCACTCAGACAGGCCGAGAGAAACTGGTCTATATCTGATAGAGAGTGCTTAGCATTAGTAGAAGGAATCAAACATTACAGAATTTATCTGGCTAGCAAAAAGTTTCAGGTATACACAGATCACAGTGCCATTACGTTTGTAAAGAAACTAAAGGAAGTTGAGACAAATAGCAGACTAGCAAGATGGGCGATTTTCCTTCAGGGTTATCAGTTTGATATTACTCATAAGAAGGGCAAAGTACATGCAAATGCAGATGGGTTAAGTAGAAGAGAGTACCCAGAGGAGTCCAAAGTAGATGTCGCCATGCTTGAGGAAGAGAGCAAAACGAAAAGCGTTCAAGTTCAGACAGAAGTCATTTACACAGATTTTGACCCATTTGCCTGTGTAAACGAAATTACAACAGTCTCAAAAGAAGAACTAAAAGACTATCAGAGAAATGATCCTGATTTTCAAGACATTATAAGGTATATGGAAGAAAAGGAATTACCAAACAGAGGTAGGTTTGACAGGAAAATAATACTCGAGGCCCAGGACTATGCAATTGATGAGGGCATATTGTATCATTTCTATTATCCTAAGGGCAAAGGGCATCGTACTGACAGGCTTGTAAAGCAATTGGCTGTACCACACGAGCTTCGAGAAGATATTCTCCTTTCATATCATGACTCTTTGTTAGGAGGCCACCAAGGCAAAGATAGAACGTATCAGACGATTCGATACAAATACTTTTGGCCCTCCCTGTACGCAGACATTTGTAAATATGTGCAAACATGCATTTCGTGTCAACGTGCAAAAGATGACAAGCACAAACATCCAGCTCCATTGAGGCCATTACCTATTACGGAAGCGTTCTCAAGAGTTCACTTAGACTTGTTAGGTCCATTGAAAACAAGCCCAGAAGGCTACATGCATGTTCTAGTCATCACTTGCGCATTTTCAAAATGGACAGAGGCATATCCCCTGAAAGAAATTTCAGCCATAACAGTTGCAGATGCATTCTTTAGAAATTTTATTTGTAGATTTGGAAGTCCGGATTCCATTCTTACAGATCGAGGTCAGCAATTCATGTCAAAGGTTTTGACAGAGTTGTGCAAAATCTTTGAAATTACAAAATTAAAAACATCCAGCTACAGACCGCAAACGAATGCAGCTGTTGAAAGAGCTAATAGTTCCATCTTAAACAAACTCAGGACGTACATAGATGCAGAGCAGACAAACTGGCCAAAATTATTAGCTCCAGTCACATTTGCTATGAATACTACAATTGCTACGGAATCGACTCAGTACAGTCCCTATTATCTTTTGTTCGGCCGAGAATGTAAAACACCATTAGACACTTCCCTAAATCCAGCAGAAATCGTAAGTCAGAATGCAAAAGAGTATGTTGACAGCATACATAAAGAACTCAAGAAAGCCAGGGAACTAGCTACCAGAAATATTGAGGAAGCTCAGGAAAAATACAAGACTCAGCACGACAAGCGAGCAACTCCGCCAGAATTCAGAATACATGAAAAAGTATGGCTGAGGTCGAAGAAGAAGCAAGTTGGCCTAACCCCTAAACTTTGTAATAAGTGGATTGGTCCGTTCTACATAATTGAGGACAATCACAACAACACCTACAAACTTAGGAATTGTGCTGATAACACAGAGCTAAAATCTGCAGCACATGCGGATGATCTGAAACCTTTTCACGATCCTGAAATCCGCCCCACAAACAGATTAGATCCCCTCCCGGATGAAGATGAAGAGTTGAGTTCCAGTGGTGATGAGTCGTCACAAGCAGATGAGTCAGGAAGTGAAGCTGATGATCAGTCAGACGCGGAAAACGATAGCGTAGACGATGAAAACGAACCAACTTACAATGTCGAGAAAATAATCAACGACAAAATTATCCGAGGGAAACGGCATTTCCGTATTAAATGGGAAGGATTTAGCAGCAAAGAAAATTCATGGGAACCAGAGGAATACATTCCAGATGCGTTAATTCAACAATATTTCCGGGTTAAAAGCGCGCGAAAAACGCAGAGACATCGTAGAAAATGACCAAGCAGTACAAATTCTAAATTTTAAATTTAATGAGTAAAAACAATTCAAAATTTTATTTCATTTTGTCAAACAGGCTTGAAATATGGACTCGTCACCCATATTTTGACTCTGTTAAAAGTTTAGCGAGCAAGAAGTGACGAGCTTGGTCGTTAAACCCAGACAATTATTAGAAAATATACCCCCCCCCCCAAAAAAAAATCTTTTGTTTACTACATTTAAATGTTCCCCTATCTTTTTGAGATATTTGACTTTATCTTTATCTTGTTCATTTTGTCATTGCTCATTTAAAGCATAGAATGGTATCTGCTACAAGCTGCTTTCTTTAAATAATGATTTGATTTTAATGTCAATTCATTTAAATCACACTTTCGTGATTGTTGCACATGAGTAGATTTTGTTTAGATTCTCAGAAATGTTGTTCAATGAGGAATAGAACTTTCTTTGATTTCTTAAAGTTGAGGTTGAAATTCAGTATACGAAATTTTTTTCAGAAAAGACTTCTTTAAAATTTTAAATTAATGTAATGATTTAGTTGTGTGACATGAGATACTGATGATTTTCGATCCATAAATTAAGTTATTTATATTTAAAAGTGTCAGTCAAACAGCGACAGTGTTTAAGCAAATGGTCATTCTTGTCAATTGATATGTGATTATTAATTTTTTTTAAATCCCGTTAAAATATGCATAAAATCAAAGTTTTATTCGAATTTTAAGTGATACATGTGTATATTGATTCATGGAGGATCCGATAAAAAGACGACTTCTAAAGATTCCGTGGACACATGCTTGACTGTGATACATTCCACACATCCCTTGGATCCGCATACTGATGAAGCGATTCGCTGTACTTCCTGTCAACACAATTCTATGGACTATGCTTTTTTTTCTTCAAATAAACAACTAACTCTTAAACCAATTCAAATGTGGACTTCGTTCATAATATACATTGTACTATATTTATTTCATAAATACTACCTTGTATATTTTTAGTCATGTTTACGAATGGTGTATATATTTTTTTTTAACTCTTCACTCCATTCCCATTTTTTTTTTTTTCATATATCAGACATTTACTTTTATAGTCAGTCATTCTATTTTTTTTTCTAGCTTGCTAATTTTATTTTTTTTAACGGATTCGGAGAATCCTTTGGGGAGCAAGAGGGTATTATGACCGTGCAAAATGTATATTTTGCACATTCGTAAATATTTTGTATTTTCGGCTTGTTTGTGAGTTAATATATTTTACATACGCAATCTTATGAAATTCTTCTTGATAGAACGTAAATTAATGTTTATTAAAAGTCTTAACTGTAACAATGAAATAGTAAATCAAAGATATTAAATATTGCTTAAGGGTAAATACTTATAAGATAGTGAGGACAGATGGACAATGCATTTCAAGATCAAAAGAGTGTTTGACACTAATTGAGTTAAAACGTTTAGGTAACAATTAGCGGATTAACGCAGGTGAAGTAATGGGCGTTAACCTTTACCGATGGTCAGTCTTGAGTAATAAAGATTGACAGTGATTGGATAGATAATACTGATTAATTTATAATTGGGCATGTCAATCAAAGTAAAGTAAATGTTTTATAAAATGTAAAATAGAGTAGAGAGTTAGTAAGAAACAGAGCTAGAGTGAAGATACATTTTAGGTTAAGAAGTGTCCGTAAAAGCTGTAACGTTTACCTCATTGTCATAAGGTCTGTCTGTCCGTTCATTTAATTGATATAGGGAGTTTCCCCATATATATTGTACGGAGTGAAGAGTAACTGATTCCCCAGATTGTTATGATATATTTTATTAACTTCAATAAATGTGGAAAATATTGCGAGTGTTGAGCTAATTCCCTAGTAATCGCCAAGGTGTAGAGACACCACAAAACGGGCGGTTATATAAGCATGTTTACTCTATTTACAAGTAATTCATGAAGAAGTCTTTACACATTGGCGTATATTCCCTCCGTAGAAACAAAGAGGGAAACCAGTTGATAGCATCGTTTGTACTCTTCCTACAAGAAAAAAAAAATAAGGAAAATTAGTCTATAAATCAATTCATCATTGAAAACATTTTTGTTTTTGATGCAATGTTTTTTATTTCTATTTTTTGATGCATTTTGCTTTCAGTTCAATTATATTAGGTCATCTTTTAATATCTGGTATATTTGTAAACCTATAGTGTTTAGAACGCACGTTTTATTTGAACTATTTAAACTTGGAAAATATTCATATCTTAATCATTTTAGTTATCAATAGTGGACTTATTAGTGACCTTAAAGTAAAATGAATGGTTATTAAACGGGGATGGACATTAATGTTGTATCAAACACAGAGACTTTATAATTGGAAAAAGATACTTTAATTTCATGAAGTATAATAATTGTATTAGAACAAATGGGATTTTAATATTGGTACAATGAACTGTACTTTTGAAAATTGTTTTTAATGGAATTAACCAGAATAGATTAATAAACTCATCCTTACTTAGTAGTAAAATTGGAACGGAAATACAAAGAAATTATTACATTATTTTGTGTTAGAGTAATGAAATTGGGAACTTTGAGGTAGATTTAGAAAAAGAGCTAAGGGCAAGAACTCCTATAGTGCTGAGATGGAGACTGAACCAAAAAATTATTCAATAGCCGAGTACCGAGTTATGCCGAAACGCCGTTTTTCGTCCGTGTTTATCAAAAATGTTCCTCAACGTTACTTCCGGTAATATTCTATCCCTTGTTTATATTGAAAACTTTTATCTTTTATCATTAACTCTGTTACTGTCATGCAAATTTACTTTAAGCTGCAAACATGGAATTGTCTAGAAAATTTATTTGCACATACCACTTTTGTTGTCCTGGTAGAAAAACTCGACCAGACGTCAATTACAGAAGATCTACAGGTGCAGGTGCGACTGAGCAAAGGTACGGAAATCAAATGGTTTTATTGAAAGTAGTGCCAACCATATTATGGATAATAGTTTTTAAAAAAATAATGGAAAAACTGGTAAAGTTTCTGGTATTATGATACATGTATCTTTAAACGAAATGCAATAATGACTGTTTTACACGGGATTTGGGGTGGGGGGGGGGGTGGTGTTAAGAGTTATTTTTAAGAAATAATGCAGAATTGAACAAAATAAAATTAAAAACATCTATTTCAGTTGCAACTCATTTGGTAAATGAGGACATTGACACACAAGAGATGATTGTCCTAATGTTATTTCCCAGACAGCTACAGTTCTGTAATTAGTTGTAAATGAATTTTAGAGAACTCCACACAGAAACACTGATAAATTTAAAAGATAGGGCTAAGGCATACATGTAAGTAGAACTATATATACATGAAACTTGACTGTGTCCATTACATATATCATTGAGATAAGTCATACTAGGTCTTTTAAGGAAAAGTTTTGCATAACTGTTTCAAATTATGATTTATATATTAAAAAAATGAACATTTTTAATCTAATAAGTAAAGTACATGTAGCTTTACACTGCTTTCAGGAAAGCATATTCCCTGACAAGAAGAAGTATAGAAAAGAACACTCAAATACTACTGTAGTTAATGAAAAAGTTCTGTATGCAGGATGTTGCTGGAGTACCACTAAGACAGATCACCTCATTGCATCTCTAAGGCATGGCTTTGAAAGCTTTGTGCAAGTTATAATTTTCACAAGATTGATAATATGTATACCTGCTAATGAAACATGAATGTCTGCTGTATTAAATCCTTATAATGTTATGTATATATAATAATATATAAATTCTCTGTATTGTCAGTGTTTGAGTAAATTGTCATGGACTAGACAATAAAAAATATACAAGACAGAATCCGTATCTTTATTTATTTATTTATTTTTTTTTTTTCTTGATAAATGAAGTAATTAATTATTTTGCTAAATTTCATATTGAGTACAAATATTTTTAGCAAGATTATTTAGACTGATGCCCATTTTTTTAAATGTTTTTAGGGAGAAGAGCTTGTTTAAGTCCTGCCAATCAGAAGCTTGCTGTGTTCTTAAACCTTAAAACTTACTGTGCATTCCTCGACCATGTCAACATAGATATGATTTTTGGCTTATCATAGAAAAAAATATTGGACTGCAGTGAAACATGCAAATAAAATAGCAAAACAGTTGGACAGTATTTTGTTTGCTTAATACTCTCAGATGGTCTTAGTATTTGAATTTTAAATACAATGAAGAACTGTTTTCTATGTTGCTATTGTTTTTCAATAAAATGTTCTAAGATAAAAATAAAAAATATTTTCAAAATATTAATTATACTTTTACTGTATATGTGTATGGACATGAGATTTTGTAAATTGATAAAACTGCATATTGGTACGTGACATTACAGCAACATTGAGGGATATTGAGTGTGTGGCAGTTAGGCAGGTTCAGTCACTAGTAGCCAGATAGCTCAGTTGGTAGAGCACCTCACTAGTGATGCAAGTGTCTGGGTTTTGAATCCTGGTCTGGCCCGTCATATTTTTCTTCTTTCCGGTTACAAGTGTATGTAGATGCTTAAATATTACACAGTTGATTTTTTGTTCAGTATCTTGAACACCACTGAGGCAGTACACTCAACTTTAGTTTGAATTCCAGTGTCAAGTTTGATACACTTAATGCATGTACAAGATACATGTCTTTCCTCAGTCGTACATCATTGGAGATCTTGGACAATTATAGTGTCAAGCATTGCACGATATTTTTTTTCAAACTGATTTATTGAGTTAAAGAATTCTACATGTTAATAATGATGCAGTTAAAGAAACCGAACAAGTCTTCTTTTTTTTTTTTTCAACATTCTAGCATTAAAAAGCCTTGATCTTGTGCGTGAACAAATCATGTGATGATGACTTTTGAGCTGATGTACCCAATTGTCAGGTTTTTACAATTAATTTCCATTTCATTACATATTGGAATCATGTTTAAATATGTGTTACAATCATATATACATTTAGAACTTTCTGTGTATATAGAGGACGCAACAATATTATGTAAAGTCGCCTTTTCACTCCCCCCCCCCCCTTTTTTTTTTTTTTACAGTTGCTGCGTTTCCACCCAATTGAAAATTCACGACAACGCATGTTGACACTACAGGTTCTAGAATGAAATACATGTACAACGTATAGAGTAAAATGCAACAAAGTAGTCGTTTAACAGTGTTTTACTATGTATTTTTCCTAAATTACATAACTGATGATGATTGATATCGCGGGATACATATACAAGAACTGGTTTTAACTCAGAGTATTTCAAATAAACGTACATTAAAATATATTTCTTCCTTCATGTAAAACACATTATATTACACCCATAAATAGACGATTTCATGCGTACATAATCTCGATATCAGGGTAACTAAAGTAAACAACCCGACTCGAATGTAAACCGGAAGTAACCAACCCGGTGGAACATTTAATTTTTTTCTAAAATCACTTGATCGGCCTGATTAAACGGGGAATAAAAACGGCGTTCCGCCATAACTCGAATCGTGGCTATTGTGGATATACCTTGATTGATGGATGGTGACATGTTGGGGTTCATTGGTTAACGGATACTATGTACAAGCGTAACTATTAAGGCAGCCAGTGAGGTGCACATTTATATCCGGGACCATGAATACCCTCTGAGCATAGAATACCCTATTTTCTGGAAAAAACACTTTCCGTAAAAAGTGGAATTTTTTCACTAAAAAAAACCAAGTTTATTATTTACTACCTTTGGCCTTTTTTCTTATAACTCTCTTAGGTTTTTATTCTTTTTTTTCGTTCTAACTCTCAGCTTTTGAATAATTTGGACTTTATGACAATTTTTGATCAATAAGCCGTTGTATACATAAATTGTGTTGGTCTATTCTGATGACATTCCAGGAATTACATTTAAAACTCTATACAGTCACGATGCATTAAAAACTGAACAAAATCATTTGAAAGCATATGTAATTTTCTTTGACTTAGAATGATAAATATGTAGCAGTTCCGACTCACAAGTTTAGTTAAGACTTCTGGCCTCCTAGACTGTATTTGTCGGACAGTGGTGAATACGTCTACTTCACCGTCCATACGAAGCTGCTGAAGGGCGTTATATAAAACACAGAATATCCCCGCTGGTCCAGCACCATCCCTTATAGAGCACAAAATTATAAATGTATGATTAATTCTTCTGCCAATGTTAATGTATACAGATAGAATAATTCATGGCTTTCAACCTTCCAGACTTACTGAATTTTGAATATTATTTATGTTATAAATACTTTTGTCTGAGGAAAACATTACGTGACAATGGGATCTCCTTTAAAGGAATGCATAACTCACTTGCTAATAATCACAGCAGGACATTTTGAAGTTTTCTCTTTTTCCAGAAGCAACTCTGTTCCTTTTACCAAAGAATCATCGTTTTCGTGGGGTATTAGGAAGACATCAATATCTCTTTTGTGTTCCTTTCATTTATTTTTGTTTGAAAAACAAAATCGCTTTATAATTGTATTGTAATTCTTTTTACAAAAAATTAAATATTTCTGTTTGTATAAAATAGTGATTGAAAACTTTTTTTTCATGAATAACTATCAACTAGAAAATTATTTGATGCCATAAAGAAGAATAGATTGTTTGTCGTAGCTTTTAACAAAATTGCTACTATTGATATTTTAAATATCTTACAGTGCTTGAAATAACCAGGGTATCTTGTGAGACGCCATTAATGGTGCTCCCACTATTTCCGGTGGTGAGGATGTAAGGAGGACACGACTGAGACAAACCGCGCTTTGGAAGCCAGGTAGTTTCCTGAATATGCATTTAAAATAAGTAACTTTTAAGAATTGGAGGAAAGTAGTGTTTGCTTTTCTTGGTACAAGACGATAAGCTAGCATACATTGAAACTAGGGAAATAACAAAGTTCTATATGTATAGGTCTATAAAATTATAGAAGGCTTTATTTATAAAAAGAAAACATGTTTTCTCTACAATGAGTAACACGCTTGAAGGGTTATAGAGGGATAAAAAAAAATGTTCTGCTACCTCGTCGTTGTCAGTCAAGACCACTAATGCAGCCACTTCGTGGTCCATACATAATCTACACAGATCAACATTAGTTTCAGGTAGAGGCTTCTGGGTCAATATAAATCCAGTTGGGTTTGTGAAAGTCTAAAATACAAATAATATTGACACTGTTTGCATACTGTTTATACATACAATGCGTCTCTGCGATTTACTTTTATCTATGATTTTTAAACAAGGCCAATTTGTAAACAGTCTTGCAAATGTGTATAATATATAAATGCAGTATAAAATATTTTCCACTTATGTTTGAAAAATTCATTATATTTGTATAAGTTCTTGGGTTATATATGATGTACAATCTCATCCCAGGCTACAAATGCATCTTCAGGGGGTGGTATACATGTATGTAGTAAAGTGCACGGAACATTTTTTTTCAACCAGTCAGGGTTCAGTATTTAGAGTTCCACTCAAATACGGTTTGTTTAGCCACATGTACGGTAAGTTCAACTTAATAATTTTATATCTAAGAATTTTTAAAGTGACAGAAGTTATGTTTATCTTCTGTTTTATTAGTTGTCATAGTTTAGATCATATATATAGGTTCCAAGGACAGTCGCTATAAACTCCCTATATATTCCCACTATAATGTATCTCTTCGTTTGCCCTTTATTTTACAAGTACTGGGTAGTAAACCGTTTGATTGATATATTTATTTACATATTCATATGCGAAATTGTGGTTTTTAGCATGGTTGTTTTATTTATCCATCATTTTATGTCGTGTACATTCAGAATAAATAGTTGCAATGCTTAGGACCTTCCTTACAATGAAACAAAATGATTTTGGACTTTGAAGGACTTCTTATGCATAAAAGTGTAAATATACAACTTATCTATTTCATTTTTTATCATATAGTATCCCCTCCCCCCAGTAAAATGTCAAAAGACAATGAAGTATTGACGAACAGAAAACACTGTTGTATTTTAGCGGGTAGAGATATATTGCAAGTACGAGTAAATATTTACGCAGCACTGTTAAAACAACAGAAAGGAGACGTGGCCTAATCTATATTCGAAATTTTTACTGTGACATCACGCAAAAATAACAACTGATCAAAATACCAGAAAATGAAAAAAAAAATCTGCGAGTTTTTACAACGGCATAAAGTACATGAAATCTGTTTTATTGTGTACAGTGTTGGTATATTTTACATCAAGGTGCCTCATTGAATCGGCTTTTCACAAGGGCACACACGTTATAGATCTTAGTCATTTTTTAATATAAATGAAAGAAATATTCTTTAACTTAAAAAATACTATCGCTTTGGTGAATTCGAGAGATGTACGAAGTAAATACATTAAATATTTTGTAAAGGTCACTCATACTTAAACTTGAGCCCCACTATTTGAAATTTTAACCAATAAAATGCTAATTCTATTTAGCAGCAGCACGTACGGAAAGATCAAGATATGTAGAAGCAATTTATCGCTTAAATTTTAAATTTGAAGTAGCATATGCCCATGCGATATTAAACTTTGTGTAGGCCCTTTATGGAGTACTAATTATATTAATATATCACGTGACTGGCACATCAGATGACCAAACTAAATTTTACACGGTATACTTTACACTTCTTAATTTTGTTGATTTTATCTTAGTACGCCTTTACGGTGCTGCGTAAAATGTAATTACTTTATCTTGCCTCTACGAATATTAAGAATGTTTGAATTGATTTAAGATTTCTTAAACATTGTAGATGTTATTTTAAATCTAACAGCTTAAAAATACAAAGCAATCAGAGCTATGAAGTATGCAGTGTATAGATGATTTTTAAGTCAAGCCGTCTTTGCCAAGATTGGCAATATTTAAGATCACATGGCTCACTCTTACAATAATCATACTTGTAATGTCCATTGTAGATACAAAAAAAAAATGCCTGCAATTGTTGATTTCTAGTCAAAGTTCTAGTCATATTTACATCGACAATGTACTTTGTATTATTACACATTGACATTGTGTTTAAAAATCATGGCAAATGGGGTTATAGTACTATTTAAGTTACACAGTATGAGGCTTGATGCAGCACATCTTATGTAGCCTTACTAAACTTTTATCTGTAAGATATGTACGTCAAGGCTGTTGATAAAAAATTGCACAGGGTAAAACTGCATCTTTCAGTCAACTGAATGATCACTGATAGGTCTAGAAAGGGATTGAATGGCAAAGGTGTGTCATTCAGAAATCTTTCAGTTACTTTTCAGTTAACAGAATGGCAGCGGTCCATCCTTAATCATAGCTTACAAGATGCACTTGTATGTTTTTTGCATTTTTTTCTATGCAGGTACATAAGTGATTAAGTGTACTAATACATGAACAACACGTTTTCCATTCTGTTGCGGGTTTCCATTTTAACTGCCACTTTTTAAAAATGTAAATAAGATGTTGAAACTCGAACAAATCGACTTCATATGTGCCTCACCTCTACTGAATGAGCAGATTTTTCAGCATTTAATTTTCCCTAAATGAACAATTAGACCCATTTTTGGATTTAGAAAGTGTGCTTACTGCAGGTCTACAAAACTGGGAAGAATAAGAGATTCCAAGGTTCTAAAGACTTTAATCGGAGGCATAAATTTTTAATTTGTTTTATTTTTTAGATGAAACAAACGATTTGAAAATTTTTGTGTACACGTACTTAACACAACCGTTCCTTGTGTAGACTTGATTACTCTAAGTGACCTTTAAACAATTGATTTTAAGTCTTCCTTACATTCAAGTATATTGCAAAAAATCTTAAATTATTTTTTCTTATTCAGAGAGAGTTCATTTATTACATTAATAAACATATTAATAAAACTTACCGATACAATAACTGCATTTATAAAGTCATTTCGTCCTTTCACATATGATGTCAAATATGGTCTAAACTTCGAAACTGAAAATCAGGCCACATGAAATAGAAAACTTTTTTCATAACTTATATTCTTTCTTCTTTATAAAAATCGAATGAACTATGATATATATATATATATATATATATATATATATATATATATATATATATATATATATATATATATATATATATATATATATATATATAATGAAGTTACTTAAATACATTAATGCTTAATAATTAAGTATACTTGGCAGAATATCCCCACTGAAATTTTTTGATTTGTTTTCGGCCTTTTTAGCATCTTTTTTATCTTCGTCGTTGTAAACTGGTTTCAGGGATGTCAGGAACTAGAAAAAAAAAATCTAATTCTTATTTCAGGACAACTATATGAGAGAGAAATTAATTACCGTCTCCTTGATGCCTAATAAATACCTTAAATTCTTTGTATAAAATTCTTTGATTCAACGGTGAATGGTCATTTAGTAATTCTTCCGTCTTTGATTGCAAATCCCCTTCTTGGATTACATTGCCCTTGTCCTGGAAGCCACATTGAAGAGCTCTATGTAAAAATATATACTGCTCCTGAAATTAAAAACAAAACAACACTGAAATAATTACCACATTTTGCCAATTTCATTTTGACCTCATCCTTACTTTTTGATAATATCTTACGGCTTTGTTTGATGATATTTATTTATGATAGTTTAATTTAATTCTGCCACTCACTGGTGTTTGAACCATGGTCATTCGATCATCTCTCATTTGCTTGACAAACTCAAAAACGTTGATCCACCCCGTTTTTCTTCCCTGTTTCAGCAAAGAGTCAAGTCCTATAAAGGTACCCGTTCTACCAACACCGGCACTACAAGGGAAGAAAGAATGGTAATATTTATTCTGCCGGTTTTCATATTTCAACGAAATTGAAATCAATATTGAATGACTCATTTTTGTTTCAAACAAGCATATAGTTTTGGAATATATTAAGGAAGGAAAATAAAGTAGTGGAGGAGACATCTTCCAGGTGACATTTTCCCTTTTAGGGCCACTTGGCTTGGCATGCTTCTTTATTTGAATTTCGATCATTGAATGATTTTTCATTGCATGTTAAGCTTATGTCTTCTCGACTCCAGAATCAACAGCTGTCCTGCCGTGTAGTTGTGGAAGAGATAAACCTTATTACAGAAATATTGTGGTGTGTGCGTGATGAAATCAATAATAACTTTTTGGTATATAGCTTTGAAATTTTTCAGTAGATTGAACTCTTAATTCTTTTTATGTGTGTGTGATGATGATGATGTGTGTGTGCGAATAAACGACAATCTTAAGAAAGCATTTTAATACAATTGACAGGATTTAATTTTTGTTGCCATTGATTGATCAATTTTATTTCCTTTTACTTGTAGTATCATTTTACCTGCAATGGACCAATAATGGGGCATCAGAATGTTTTCGCTTGGTAACAGCCTTATGGAACTGAACAAGTCCAATTTCTTCTGGAGTTCCATGGTCTGGCCATGCAGTGTAATGAAAGTGGGTTATTTCTCTCCTACCATTTGTCTGGAATTTAACATACAAATTTGTTCAAATACTAAAATTATTATGTCATCAAAAAATCTAAGATGAATAAAGAAATTGTCAAAGGTAAAATAGAAAGTTCTGAAAAACACATTTCATTCATAAAATTCATTTCTTTTCTTTTAATTTCGTTTAAAACTTATTCCAAATATTTTATAAATTTGCATCGATTGAATAAAAGCGTTAACTTACTTTTTTTCGCTGTACTAAAAATTTTCGAAGAATGTAAAATGCATATGTATTTTCCTCCGAAAGAGATATTTCACATGGACCTATATTCATGGTTTTGTCTTTATTTGGCCAATATTGTGTGCACTTGTTCTGAAATTTAAGGATTTAAGAATCAATGACATACGAGTAAAATGAAAAATCATATTGTTAGAAAAGAAATCGTATATAGGAGGAATAATCACCTTTCCATTTTCTATAATGTTGGTCAGCATTACTATATCTTTTATTTCTTCTTGCCAAATCATTCTCCAAAAATCTGCCAATGTGTTGCTTTTTGGGCCTTCAGAGGAAATTTTCGATCCGGAGAGTGTAATGGATTTATGGGGGTTTTTTGGTTTAAAAAAGAACAGAACTCATTGATAACATGTAGTTCATTTTGTTAGTATACAAGCTGTTTAATAAAAAACGTAAAGAAATACGCTTAGTATGTTTATAATAGGAACATTTTCATACCTTGTGCCCCTATGTATGCAACGTCTCCATTAAAATCCTAAAATCGACATTGCAATGTATCATAATTATTGTGTTGCGTGAAATTAGACAGAATTTATTTATGAGAGGTTCTCATTCAAATTTTTGTCACTTAGAGCTAAATTGTTACCTTTATATAGTTTGCATTGATATAGTCATTGTCCAAATTCTGCCATTTATCTTTGAGTATGACTCTAGAATGCTCATCTGGAATCAAAGTTGTAAGATACTGCATTTATGTCCTTGAGATGTGTACATCATTTTGTCTCTTTTTGGGAATACATAAGTATTACTCCGAAATCATCGATCGACAGAGAATGCTTGCTCCTCCTAAGCACCTAATTCCATCTCTAGTGTTTCCAGACGTCTTTTCTTTTAGCCGCATTCACTATTCGTTTTATATACTCTATTTATGAGATTACCCTTCAGTCGGTAGAACGCTCGCTTCGTGATCGGGAGGTCGTGAGTTCGAATCTCGGCCGCGACTGACCTAAGTCGATAAAAAAAAAAATGGGAAGCACCTGTTCCTTCGCCGTGCGCTCGGCACTTTGAAGTGAAAGTTGCGGGTCCTTCGGATAAGACCTTAAAAACCGGGGTCCCGTGTCACGGCAGGCGTTGGCACGATAAAGATCCCTCACTGCTTAATGGCCCTGAGTGCCGAGTAGAGGTCAAAATTTGAAACCCTTCACCGGTATATGGTGACGTCTTTATGAGTGAAAAATTCTCGAAATCAATATTGATGAGATTGATCACTATTTGTTCTCTTCTTCTTTTGCAGTTTGTCAATTTTGAATATTTTCAACAACCAACATGAATTTGAATTAGCATATCTATATTGAAATTTGAAATTTCAGAAAAATCCTTAAAAACATAGATACATAGCGGATTCCAGTAAATGTTCTACCAAACCTCTTTCTTTACTCTTCACTAAAATTGTAAGATTAGTGAAGGAGAAACTTTAGAAGTACTGCGCAAAAATATACTGTATAAGCAGGAATTTTAGCGAGGATTTAATTTTGGAATTATTAGCAAGGGTGTTTAGATCGCTAAAATTAAATATAGCTAAAAATAAATTGCATTTTATTTGTTATAGCCTCTTTAGTAGGTATTTAAAATCGCTAAAATTGATTCTCGGTAAAATTTAATTACCATTATTTAAAGATAAATCGCTAAATTTGCGTCTCATAAAAATTTCCACTTAAGGGGAAGAAGGACCTTTAGCTGAAAAAAATACTTGTCATTCATTTTTTTTTTTATATTTTGTATATTTCTAATTAAGTATGTCTCACATATCATAAAGCAGTTATATCATTAGGTTTCTAACCTTATTTTAGAGATACTGATTGACAAATACTATGCCCTACAGTATCTAATGGGAGTTTTAATTCTCCATGTTTCTGCGCTCATTTTTAAAGCATATATAGAAAAATATGTAAGTGAACATGTATCGTTTAAAATATTTCAGAATATGAATAGGGTTTAAAATTCGAATAAGCAAGTTAATCCAATCACACTGCATCTGGATAGGGAAAACTACGAACTTTTTAAGATAACTTAAACAACAAAAAAAACGTAATTTACAAAAAATTCTATCATTCAATATTTTCAAATTTGCGTTGAAATGCAAGTCTTTCAAATTATTGATTAACTGTAAAAAGTGGTGAAGCTGACCTCAATATTGCACTGGACATCGTTAAAGACGACATAAGCACGACAAAAACTTGTCATGTTTACATTTCTCGAGTACGGGAAAAACAAACTATGACGTCTCACTAAGCTAACTAAGTGAAATAAGATATACCTACACAAGATTTCCGTCATCAGCCATGCAAAAATAATTTTTGTGTTCCCCGTTTCTCAAAATATTTCATCATATACTGATTATGACCTGTTTTTACAGAATAATACCGCCCCTGTATTCACCGAGTATGATCTTGCTGTACTAACAGATCGTGTATGACGTCACCGACTTGTTGGACGCGCAGTTTAGGGAAACAGAGGAGTGGATCAATCTTTTTTCATAATTTGTTAATGTTTACAAGAAAGTTAAACTTTTCATTTTTTTTAATATAAAATGATAATTCAAGAAAAAAAATTGGCAAAAATTTATACAAGAACTGATGCTTTACACGTTTTACACTTACATAAACGGAGACTATGACGTAGTTTAACAGGGTCATGTGACCATGTGTTCTTCATCCCCTTAAACGGTATTCGAGACGTATCGTAATTCAGATGTGGATACATAAAAAATCCAAGGAACTTTTGGAAAATTTGAAATCACAAAACTTTACCAAAAACCAACAAAACTTACGACTTTTCATGTTTATATACAACCATTACCAACGATAAACTAAAGTGCAGGCTTTTTGATATATTGACAGTTGCTTTTACAATAAAAATGGAACTGGTAAATTAACTTGCCAAGTCATTGGTCATTAGCCAAATTATTTTGTTAAAAACTATTCTGATTGTACACAAGTACTCTTAAGTTGATACTAAAAAGATGCTAGAGTTTATTATTGACAATATCTATGTAATTTTTGGAGACCAGGTCTTCCAACAATCTATTGAAATTCCCATGGGTACCAATTGCGCCCCATTATTAGTAAACCTAATTTTTTTATTCATATGAAGCAGAATTTGTTCGAACTCTTACACGTGAAAAGAAGAAAACACTTGTTGGGTCTTCAACTCAACATTTAGTTAAATCGACGACGTATTGTCAACAATGATTATTTCCATTCTTATGTCGATGCGATATATCCCGGTGAGCTTGAAGTAAAAAATACCAAAGAGTCTGACACAACTGTTTCATATTTGGATATTTTACTTGAAAAAGACGTTAATGGTAATATAATAACCAAGCTTTGTGATAAACGTGACAATTTTTCAATCGTCAACTTCTCCTACTTATGCAGTAATATACAGTCACCAACTGCATACAGGGATTTATATATCTCAGTTGATTCGATACGCAAGAGCATGCTCTAGTATTAACATTTTCTAAAACGAGGTAAGTCATTGACAAACAAGTTGTTTATACAAGAATATCAGCAGTCTTGTTTAAAGTCATTTCGTAAGTTCTCTGGTCGGTGCTGGTCGGTGCAATGACATTGTTAGCAAATAGAATTTATCATGAAGTCAAATGCTGACTTACGTTTTTCATACTAATTGTTAGGCCATTAATTTTTTTATCTACGGATTTACCAGTTATTTCCTGATCATGACAAGGAGCACACGGTGGGTGTAACCGGTCTAAAGTGGATGCTCACTTCTCCATGGAACCTGATCCCACATCTGAAGCTATATAGATCCGTGTTTGCTCTGCTCAAAATTTTTTATTGTTTAATGGATTTTTGAGCTTGAATACTGTTCGTTATGTACATATATTTCATTAAATAATCTCTGCTTCATAGGAAAAAAAAATGTCGACTTATCAAGGAAAAAAAGTGGCTATCGGGATTCCAGCCAATTTGTGGAAAAGCTGATATCAAAACTTACACAGATATTATCATTGAGGAACTCAAGCATCTAATTATCAACTTCAGAGTTCTTGTTTTTAGAATCAGAATGATTTTAAAAATGAAGATCTGTAGATTTACGAGCTCCATTCATTTAGGAAGCAGTTGTCTCTGATGGCAAAAGCCTTCTCTTTAATTACTGTAGAATCATTTAAATTCTTGGGCAAGAAAAATTAAATTGGTTCTTTGGGACGTAATTTTCTTATGAAAATGAAAATCGTATATATATATATATATATATATATATATATATATATATATATATATATATATATATATATATATATATATATATATATATATATATATATATATATATATTAGATTCAATGAATAAATATGTTGATAAAATAATTGTTCATTGTGTTGTAATTTCTGACTCACGAAATTCACAAACTGTGATCCACCTCAAACAATAATGATTCTAAAGTATCTTGAAGAATGATTGTAAAAACTGTAGAAAAGTCAATTATTGTTTTGTTGCTATCGGGTTTTTTCCCCAAAAGGTTTTTTTGTGTTTGTTTTGCTCAGAGTTCGCCACGGTGTGACCGGTGACAGGGGATGCTTACCCCTTATAGGCACCTGATTCCACCTCTGGCTTTTCCAAGCGTCAGTGTTTTTGGCCTGTTCAGGATCATTTGGTCTTTATTTTTACCTTTACAGAAATAAAAGGTGTTTTGAGGGATATCTTATTCAGATGTACAGAAAAGAATGAAATAATAAGAATAGTGTAAAATTATCCCTAGACTTATTATATAAGACTCATTCACCAAGTGTTACGCTCCATTCACATCAGAGATAACTTGTTTTACATAGGAGCATTTAGAAAGATTTACATGTATTCTATTTAAGATTGTTTGGGCAATAAATTATTGCATAATTAATACACAAGCAACCCCAAGGATTTTTTATTTAAACATATTCCAAGAAAGCAAGGTTCAATATACTACATTCTTTATATGGTGTGACAGGTTGCGGTGGCGTATAGTATATATACAGTAGAAAACTGTGGAAATGCTGTAAGTTACAAAAAAAAAAAAAAAAACAAGGGGATTTTCATACGGACAGGGGTTTTGAAAGCCAGTAGTAGTATTGGCTGGGCGTTCGATTGATAGTCGGTAGGTCCGAATTCCATTTTTGATCCTGCCAAGAGTTCGGTATTACAAGTAAAGTTATACTTTGGACTAGGAGTTGGTGCAAAATTTATAAACGATTTTCAACTCAAATGTATATATAATTATATATAATACGTTAAAGAACTTCACTGAGAAAAGAAGCGGGTTGGTACATGGATGTGATCAAATCTTCCGAGAAGGCCTCGGAATTTCATAACGCTCTTCATTTTTGATAACGTAAGGCATTTCTTTAAACAAAACTGCATATATAAATGGTTATTATTTTAAGAAAGTAAAAGAAAAGTCTAATAGATATAAAAAAAAAAAAATAGGCACGATTTCCGATATCTATTAATCGTTTAGCTTTTTGACTATCTGACCAATAATAGAAAAACATATTTTATTTTATGTTGGCATTTGCTTATATACTAACAAAGAAGTAAATCATATATGTTTGTTGAAATAGATCATTTATACATTCTCAGCTGATTCAAAATATTTTTTAGAAGGTCGTCCATAAAAAATAGTGATATTGGCTGTGATAAAGTGATAAAGCTTGTTTAATCATTTGATAATTAATATGTTTTATTCATGGTGTATAAGCATTATACATTGGAAAAAAATAATTTAAAAAAGTTGGGAAATATCGTTACATGTACCCGCTATCTCAAAGTGGAAGAGAGAGCATAACTCAAAAATTTGACCTTTAGATAAAGATCCCGCATCAGACAATTACACGTTTTTTCGAATGTTCCATGAAGAAAACAAAACTTACACATTTGAAATTTCAACAAAAGGGAGATGTTTATGTTTGATCAAAAATAGGTTAACTGGGTATCCATTATAATTTTGATATACACCTTATAATAAATACAATTACTCGACTATATCTCCAGAGATAAAAAGTAAAGTAGGTCTTACATGGAAATGTTGTTTTAAAACGGTTTTTGGCAACGTTTTCCATTTTCTTTGCTGATTTACAAACATTGACATTTGCTGGTGGAAACCTCTATTAAAATCAAAAGTTAAAAACGTTTAGTAAACACAGTTGCTAGTTTTGGCTGCAGAAAAGTAAACAAACAAACAGTACAAAAATCGAAAAAATGAGATGGAGAGAGAGGGAGACTCAATTTCACAATTTTATGAAAAACCGTAACATTACCTTCCTAGATTTCAAAATGAGAATTTTAATTATGCAACAATAATTTAAGATACTTGTTTGAGTAGAACAACTCTCATTTATAAAAATAATACGGTACATGTAGTGACAAACCTTAAAGAATATCATTTTCTTCCCCTACTAGTATAATTGAAATGTTTATGAATTAGGGGTACATGTATTTCATTTCATTAAGAAAATAACGTTAAAGAAGGTACCTTATATTCTGACAGAAACTGTCTGTTCTCAAATTTACTCTTTTCCACTATTACATCTTGTAAATCCTCAATATCCATATTTGTATTAACCTGGACCGTGTTGTAATATCCATTATCACCATTAGAGGATGAAGGTAAATGGTCAAACTCGTCATTTGTTCCCTTTGATTGGTCTTCTACATAAAATTCCACTTTGTCTGGATATTTATTAAATTAACAAGGAAAACATATAATAAAATTTCATTTAAATGATTACCCCTAAAATCGCTGAAGTTATTTTCCCCTCTCTGTTTGCTATCACTTTGTAAGTCAGACGTCCTAATGGTAGCCGTGTCACTTCGTTTGCTGCTAGTATTACGGTACCGCCTACAATATTGAATAAAATAGTGAAATATTGAAGGAAAAAAAGATTCTTTAAAATAAATTGATTGATATGCGTTTAATATAAGTTTGAATACCAGAAAGGAACTAAGACCTATATACATTGTACATTGAACTAAACCTGTAGAAAAATAAAAGAGATACTCCGGCTATAGATAGAAAAACGATTGCTGAAAGTGTTCCTCCGATTACTGCTGCATTACTGGAGAGTTCTTTTGGATTGATAAGATACTCTATATATTCTACAACGCAAAATAAAAAAAAAATGTTGATGGTGCTGAGATTTACAAATCGTTCTCTATTTCATGCAGGTCCCGATCCTCACAAATGATTATTATTATTATTATTTTGTTGTTGCTGATATTTCAAGTGTTCTTACATGAATGACATATTCAATGCTTACGGTCACAGTAAGACCCATTCCAATTCTTTTGACAACCATAAAGGCAGGCCCCTGTCGATTTCATACAGACAGGATTTGTCTCATTGCATTTCCCACACAAAATATTGCATTCGTCGCCAAACATCCCATCAGTGCATACTTAAAAAAGAACGATTATTTAAGATGCATAAGATAGACAAAACATACATATATACATGTAGTTCGTGCCAATCCTCATATCCTGCATTTTGTTCACATTTAACGTTTAATTATTCCATATTATTCAAAAGTTTTAGAACATACTTTCACAATTTGTGCCATTCCAGTTTTTTTGGCATCCGCTTTTGCATGCCCCTGTGATGTTGTTACAAGATGTTTCATTCTTGCAATGTCCGCAGATCAAGGAGCAGTTTTCCCCGTAAAAACCTTTTAAACATCCTGCAGAAAAAGCATATTCAATGATTGTAATGAGATATGAAATCTATTTCTCGAGTGGGACGGAATTAAAAAAAAAATGATTTCAGGCGTTCAAGCACGAGTTAAAACATGTATGAAAAAATTTCTTTTGAGGATGGTTTATTTAACATAGCTATCTTATAACAAAAAGTATATTCCTGAAGGGAAGGGAAATTTCATGTGTCAAGGTAAAAAAATGTTATGCTTGACCTTTTTGTGCATTGAAATATTTCTTTTTGAACTTCCACCTTTATTTGGTGCATGAATTACAGTATTTTACTGTGGCAAATGTAATGAAAGCAAAAATGAATTCAAAAAGCTTCAAGGTTAACATTTAAAGAGAATACCTGATCAATATCACCCTCAGTAAATCATCAATCATTAGGATGACACATATTCTTCTAAATTACAATGGAATGTAAAATATACCATCACATTTATTTCCAGCCCAATGACTCAGACATCCATGTGGACAGATTCCTGTTATGTTGTTACAATATGTTTCTGTTTTACAGTGTCCACACTCCTCTCTACAATCTGTACCATAAAATCCATGGTTGCAAACTGTAAAAGAAATAATGCATTTTTTAAATATATTTTAAGTGTAACAACTTTGTTCAGTCCGATTTATTTTCCCTGTTAACAATTCACGCCAGATCGACACGTTGCAGTGGTTTGAATAATACATGTACGAACTAAATGAATTCACGAATTTTGTAAACGAATTATACTCAATATTACGATAAAAGTATACAAAAATGCAAATTCACTGCATGTAAACAATGATTTAATATTGTAATTTAACATTATTTCTTGGAATTAACAATACCGTCACATTTTTCTCCAGCCCAATGATCTCGACAACCATCCTGACAAATCCCTGTAATGTTGTTACAGTGTTTCCCAGTTTTACAATTTTCACAGGGTGTAGCACAGTCTCTACCGTAGAACCCATTTTTGCAAACTATCAAAAAATAATTTCAGAATAATAAATATGCTAGCATTACTTGCTCAACCGTAATATATGATTGATGAGCCTGTTTTCAAAACCAAGATTTTATTACTTTACTCAATACTCTTTCCTCGAATTACTTCATACCGTCACATTTCTCTCCAGCCCAATGGTCTCGACAACCATCCTGACAAATCCCAGTAATGATGTTACAGTATGTCCCTGTTTTACAGTTTCCACAGGGTGTCCCACAGTCTCGACCGTAGAACCCTTTTTTGCAAACTAATAAGGAATAAATTTAAAACAAGATGTGTTTATGAAACACTGATGCCCCCGTATGGCAACTTATAGCAAAGGTTAAACTTTCACAAAGATAGATTCAAATTTGTTGGTACCAAAAGTAAGGTCTTGTCTCGATGAATATACCTGTGAAATTAAAAAAAAACCCTAGCAGCAACGATTGAATAGATATGGAAAAAAGTTTTTGTAAAGTAAGTCAAACATCAAGGTCAAATGGTTAAAAAGAGTTGTGCCCAAGGAAAGGTCTTCTCACAGCGAATACACATGTAAAATATGCAAGCCGATGCATCAATCGTTCAAAAAATATGACCAAGGTAAAACTTTTTCAAAAGTTAGGAACAAGGTCAAAGTTTATCAAAAGTAGTTCAAACTCCAAAGTCAAGGTCAAAAGGTCAAAGTTGATGGTATCTAAAGGAAGGTCTTGTCACAAGAATTACATACTAGAGTATAAAAGCCCTAGCACCAACCGTTCAAAAGGTATGGCCAAGGTCAAAATTCGGTAAAATTTTGCAAAACTGGGTCAAACGCAAAGGTCTAGGTCAAAGTTGTTGGTATCTAGAGGAAGGTCTTGTCACAAGGAATACACTTGTGAAGAATGAAAGCCCTAGCAAAAACCGTTCAAAAGTTATGGCCAAGGTTAAAGTTTTACAAAAGTAGGTCAAACTCCATGGACGATGTTAAAAGGTCAAAGTTGTTGGTATTCGAAGGACGGTCTTGTCAATTGGAATGCACATGTGAAGTATGAAAGCTTTAGCACCAACCGTTCAAAAGTTATGGCCAGGTTCAAAGTTCGGAAAAAGTTTGCAAAACTGGGCAAACTCCAAGGTCAAATGGTCAAATATGGCTGTACACAAAGTAAGGTTTTGTCACAAGGAATAAACATGTGGAATATGAAAGTCATAACTCCAACCAATCAAAAGTTATTGGCAATGTTAAAGTTTTTGCGGACAAACAGACATACTGAGAGACAGATGGACGGACAGGGCAAGTACTATATTCCCGAATCTTCGATACGGGGGCATAAAAAAAGGAGAATTAAATGCAAAGTGTATGAATTTGTGTGTGTGAGTATGGGCGGAATAGAAAGAAATAAAAAAAAAGTGAATACAAACGTTTTGAATCTTCTGATAAAAAAAAGCAGTGAAGAAATGCAGGGGTTTACTTAAAAAAAAAAAGAAAAAGAAAAAATGGAGGAATAATGAATCGTTAATTTCCTTTTTTAAAAAAAAACATAATTTAATATTTTACACATTTTTTTTTAAAATAATAACTACTGTCACATTTCTCTCCAGCCCAATGGTCTCGACAACCACCGTGACAAATCCCAGTAATGTTTTTACAGTATGTCCCTGTTTTACAGTTTCCACAGGATATCCCACAATCTCGACCGAAGAACCGATATCTCACAATCTCGACCGAAGAACCGATATCCCACAATCTCGACCGAAGAACCTTTCTTTGCAAATAATAAATAAAATAAAATACTGAGATAAAAAGTGTGTGTATTTATTAAACGGGTTTATTATAATTGATCCATAATTTACGCCTTTGATCCAAGTTCTTTTTATAAATCCATCCCTATCGTCGCATGTTTGTCGAGCCCAATGATCTCGACATTCAGCCTGATATAACCTGGTAAATAAATGTTGTTACAGATTGTCCCTGCCTCACATTGTCCACAAGCCTTCTCACAATCTCTCCCATAGAACCCGCTTATGCAAACTAATAACAATCAAAATTAAATATAGTAGAACGTGTTTAATCTAGACACAATTCTTTCAATCCGTTTTGTTCAGTCAAATTTCAATGAAAAGTCTATACCCATGGAATTCCTACAAATATTCTCAGACTGTTGCTTCCAAAGTTTTCAATTTCGAACAAACCTAACAGTGCCTAGATATTGAATATCTAAAACAAATTCCACTTAATTGCTCTTGTTTTTATTCTTATTTCAACTATAGTCAGGTTTTTGACAGTCATGTGATAAATGTATATAATGTGTACTGTCTGTAGGTAATGGACAAATTTCAATATCGCAAGAGCATACCCTAGTTAAAATAAAAAAAAAAAAAAAAAATAAGTAATAAATATTTTCCACATATTTTGTAGCTAAAGTGCTGCTGCTTTAAAAAGAATTCACATTTTATTAGTTTAAATTTCAAGTTATTTAGCTCTAGTCGAAATATGTGTGACTTTAAGTATTCTATATATTATTTTATCCTGCAACTACCCCTTGCATTGACCTAATAAAGGTAACCTAATAAACCAAAGCTTTATTCGGTCAATGCCCTAATAAAGCCTCGTGGACGTATTCCGACGTTTTAAAAGCATTGTGACGTCATGAATATTGCAATGTTTACGCCATGGCGTCTTAGATTCAACTCAGAGATGTACCTAAATCGATAGAAAATAGTTCGTTTTGAAGGTCATGTAAAAATATGTTGCAGGATAAACAAAATACATAGATACTGTCTTGAAATATAAGCGATATTTGGGCTCCGGTCGAAAACGTGATAGAGGGCTCGGCAAGCCTCGCCCTCTATCACGTTTTCTTACCCTCGCCCAAATATCGCTTATATTTCAAGACATTAACCATGTATTTTATATAAGTAATGCTCTCGATTTCAGGAAAGCAACAACACTTTTCAAGTTAAGGAATTTTCCGATATGTTACTTTAAAAACATGGTCAAGATCTGTTAAGTGTATGTCCTTGCGAAAAGGCGATTTAATGAAGCACCTCGGCGTGAACATGCAAACCCCGTACAGAGAATCAAGGTAGAATTAATTCAATACATTCTCTCGATAGTTTTTAAATACAAGTACTAAACAAAGGTTTCTGATTTGTATTAATGGTCTGCTTAAAATTTGCAAATAATATTCTGTTTAATAATAAAATTCATTTTTCACTGTGATAAAATTACTTGATCCGCCTCTCACTGCACATAAAATGCATCAGCTTCTACCATAATGGGTGTTCTTGATTTAGCTTAATTTGGTGTACACCAGTGTACACCGGTGTGAAAGATGGTGGTGTATAATCAAGTGCATTTTACGAAGTGTAGTGTATATGGTGTAGTATACGTTTTGCATCTCGCCAGTGTGTGGCTTAAATTTTTTTTGTTTTAAAGTGAAAAAAAAAAAAAAATTAAAATACGTTAAGAATTGACTGAATTATTGAAAATTGTTAAAAATGATTTCAGTGTCATCACTTACAAACAGAAGACAACTTGAATGTGATTTCTTCTCCTTTATATAACATAAGATCATTTCTTAAATATTCAATCGTACCATTCTCCGCCATTTTGAATTCAGTGTACACCTTTCGACACATGCCCTAAATTTGGTGTAAGAAAGTGTACACCGAATGTACACTCAAAGTCTACACCCCTGCACTTGATTAAAAAAGGTGTACACGGTGTAAAAGGTGTAAGTAAATCAAGTTCGCCCAATGACGTCATGTCGACAAGTGCATTGCGATCAGTGACTTGTTAAAATTTTGCTGTGTGAGATTTAACTAACGACAAAAATGAATGCAGTGGTAAGTTTTGATAAAGTTCATTACTCTTAGGCAGTTTAAAATCGCAAATTATTTCATTTTCTGTTATTGCTATTTTTGTGTAAAGCCACAGTTAACATTTCCCGTATAATTAAGCCCCGCCCCCCTTTATGCAGCCTTAACAGAGATGCGTATGAAGGACCTTCTTATTGTTGAAATAATGTCATTCACTATTCTTTTGAATTCTGCTTGGCAAAACAGCATTGCAAGCAAAATATTGTTAATTTCATAGCAATCTAAAAGGTGAAAATTTCGAACAGTTATCGATTTCAGGAAATCAGCAGACAAAACGAATCCTGAAAAGGGAAAAAAAACATGCTCTTCTGGAAACAACAAAGGCAGAATCAGGTGTAAAGGAGAAGATAGCTTCCACTGTTGACCGATCACACCTGCCATGAAGTCTATGTATTGACCAATTGGACGGAATATCCCTTGTCAAATTTTGTATAAAAACAGTAACCTAAAAAATGGAAAGAAAAATGTCATACAAATACGAAATACTTGTATTTGTACAACCATTTGTTGTATTTCAAAACAAGATAGGATTTGCTTAAAGCTGTTTTAAAATTTTATTTTTTAAATCTTTTTTTTTGTCAGTGGCTTGATCGTATTGCCTTTTCTTATCGAATCAGTTGGGAGACATAAACACAACATGCAGGTGATGTTGGAATATTCCTACACAAATAACAGAAATTGACAGTTGAAGTCATTCTGATTGTCATACAGATTAGTTACTGGTTGACCATTATAGTCTATAAAAAGTAAAACTTCAAAATATAAAATAGTTGTGGTAGACTTTTCAGTGGTTTTTTTTTTCTGATTTCACTGGGTTTTATCGAGTTCACAATGAATGATCGTTATGCCTTGTTTGTTATATTTGAATTAGAATTTCCGTTTTAACAGGGCAAAATTACTGTTAATTAATAAAACGTCGGCGATACTTACGTACTCATAAATTGACGCATTCAAAATTTAGTGCAATGTTTGGAAACGTATTGGTTTGCATAGTCAAGAATTAGCACTGCACCCTCGTCTCCACCATGTATTGTATTTATTTTTGATTTATTAAGGCTATTTCCAAAAAGTATTTTAATCCCATTTGAATTTTTGGCCAAAGTAAATGTCAGAGAGAGAGAGAGAGAGAGAGAGAGAGAGAGAGAGAGAGAGAGAGATTATCCCTGCTATATAGTCCTATGAAAAACTTTAAAATCTCGCAAACGTCCCGGAGGAAATTTAATGTTTTAAAAAAACATTTTTTATGCAGTGTTCTTCAAAAATATTCAAAACTGAAAATTAGTATGTGACCATGCATAGTGCAAATTTTATCCCTTTGAAAATTAAAAATCTTAAAATCATTTTAGAGATAAAATAGGATTAAATAGCGAATCAAAATATTTTGAATAGCGAAAACAAGCTATACTGGTA